TATATATGTTTGCACTGTATATTGCAAAAAAATATATATTTGATAAAAAGTACCAAATACATTATAGTCGTTGAAATATGGCTGTGATCCAAAGCCAGTGATGTCATAGTTAACTCGGCGCCGCTGACTGGGACCGTCCACATCCATTTCAGCGCTGATGTCACGTAACTGTGACTGAATTAGATTATGGCAAGGAGCCAATAGGCTTCTGAGAAATGTATTAGAGGCTACAGACTGGTAATAAATATTACAGGGGCAGGGGGGTGTCGGTTTTTACATGAAATATATATGAGACCCTCTTTATACAGTCAGTTACAGGGCACGGAAGCATTGAGAGAGTCTGATATATTTTCTTTTAATTGAAATTGATGACATCACACATTGACACGTGTGATGTCATCAATTTCAAGGGATGTAGCTTTATGTTCTATTTCTGAGTAATTATTTTGGCTTTAACTTTAAGGAGATGCTTAACCTTACTGTGAACAGTACCATCACCGACTATATTTGCCGGAAGCTACGAATTTTTCCGGATAGACATCTTTGTCTAATTCGGGATGGGCAAACTACGGCCCGGGGGACGGATGCGGCCCGTTTGGTTTTTTAATCCGGCCCACCAAACTTTTCCAAACGATGTTATCAATTTCTATTTTCAATATATTTCTGCCTTTCCCCTGCAATGCCTGCATTTCCCCAATAGATGGCGTAGACACGGCTGAAAGCATTTTAGCATTTTAGCCTTTAGCCTTAGTTCATACAAACGCTCCATCTATCTCACTCCTGACCTGGCCCCCCTCAAATTTTGGGACCCATTGTGGCCCGTGAGCCATAATTTTGCCCACACCCGGTCTAATGGAATGTAAATATATATTCATATATGGTGAGAGTTATTTAAAGCCCAAGTTGCAAAATTTCCTTTTAGATCTTAACAATTTTGGAAGCCAGTCAAGGGCCAGACTGGATGGTTCCGCGTGCCGGATGCGGCCCGTGAGCCACCAGTTGATCATCACTGGTGTACAGTATAGAGCGACAATAGAATCTGGAGCTATATCATTGCTAATTAGCGAAAATACATTCAAGAAGTTTGTTTTATTTTTTAGCATTATCTGTAGATTAGCAAAAAGAGTTCCGCGACCAGAAGCTAACGCTGTTTGGGGGGGGGGGTCTTGGCGTGGAAAGTTCGGGAAATTCTGATTTAACCGAAGGCAAATTATGACCTAATTGGGCAACAGACTAATAAATATTTCTTTTCTGTGTATTTACAGAAAAGGTTCCACACTGCAGGGACACTTGTAAACATGTGACTTCTGCTGATTTGTCAATTTGTATTTATCTGCTGATGGGGTTTTAATGGGGCAAACACCCTGTTTACCCTGCCAGGGACCCCGGGGCAAACATGTACTCTGCCACAGCCAACAGTCCCCAGCACTGTCAGACATCATTCAACACCCTATTAACTACCCCTGCCCCCCCTCCCTCTTCTTCCCCCCATATTGGATTGCACTATAAAGTACATCTGGTCACTTACTCCATCACCCGGGCCAACCCCGCCCGCACACATACCCACACCGATGTGACACTCATTTCAGACAAACGCGGTGACACTCGTCTCCCCCCTGCTCACTCCCCACCCCTCGCTCTCTTTCTCCCCTTCTCCACACATGCAGGTGTCGCTGTCCAGCCTTCCTTGTGCTGAAACATTCACCGTCACATTATATTTTGTTATATCCGCCATTTTTTTTCCATCATCTGAACTTGATGTTACTAAAAGAAGCACCAGAATCTGAAATTATCTTTTCCTTTATGTATCAATAGGTTATTTCATCCACTAACTAAAAAAATAATAATAATTATAATTATATTATCACTCGTTGTTGCAAAAAAAAGACTAAAATGCAACCAGTCTTTATTTGAAAACATTAGGGAACTCCAGCCTACCTTCCTTTCGTCGCCCTCCACTGGTCCTTTCCAAACTTTTTACGCGTCAACATTCCTGACTCTTGTCTCCATGGACGCAGTTTTCCACCTATTTTTTTCATGTTGTAGTCCGACCTGCAGAAAGGACAGCGGCGTAAAAAGGCTGGATCAGGGAAACAAAGTTAGGACGTCGTGCCGTTACTGCACTGTTTGTGTACTTTACTTCTGGCCAAGCCTCTCTTTTGGGTCCCGCCTTCGACTTCCCTTCATGCCTCTGTACAGACTGAGGTTTTTTATTTCGATTGTTTTCGTTTTTATTTCTTCTGAGAAGGAAATCAAATCAGCTAGAACTGAATAATTTATTTTTTTAATCCTCCTTGTGAGCTTATAATCTTGGTACTTTAAATGGCAAAGTAAATCTTACTCTGTCGCTAATGTCTGTGTGTACACCGGGGTGTCAAACATACGGGTTGCGGGCCAAAACCGGCCCACTAGGAGGTTCAATCCGGCCCGCGTGATACATTTTGAAAGTGAAAAATGCACAAAGACTTCATGTTCATGGTGTTTTGTCAAATTATATTTCATAAAATATGAACTTTTTATAGATTGCGGTTTTTATTTCAACTGTTTTTATTTTTTATTTCTTCTGAGAGGGAAATAAAATCAGCTGGAACTGAAGAACTTGCAGGATTTTTTTTTATATAATTTTTCGTACTTTAAAGTACTGCCCTGTGTGTACACCGGGGTGTCAAACATATGGATTGCGGGCCAAAACCAGCCCACTAGGGGGTTCAATCCGGTCCACTTGATGCATTTTGCAAGTGATTATCTTCTGATTCATTGATCTTTTGTGGTGTCGGCATGATATATGGCATTATATATTCCTCTTATATCAACCAGCAGTAGTCCAGTGTCACTATATTCTTCCTAGGACTTTTTAGTGTTGGTCTCTGTCGACACTGCATCTGTCCCACAGAGGAATTGCACGCTGTAGGTCTATGATGTCATCATTTTTTACATTTCATCGGTCAACCACGGGGGTCCCAAACAGAATCCAGGCTTTTAGAATTTATCCGGAACAAACTTTGTGCAGGAAAAGAAATGTAATTATCTCGTAAGACATGCTAAGGGATCGTCAAACAGCGACCAATAAATAAGCCTTTTTAGACATCCAAAAGATGCGCACGAGAAAGATAATGACTCAATGTCACTGAGACGGAGTTGTAATGTAGACCATATGGCAGCAGCTTTAATGACTTCATATAAAATTAAATGCTCCGCTCCACTGGTTTCCATTCCTGAGATCGAGCCCCCTCCGAAAGGTCACGAGATAAATCTGACAATGATGAGATCACTAATGGGCCAGAAAGAGACAAAGTCAAAGTCATGCAACATGAAACTTATTATAATTTTCTTTTTGAAACAAAAAAAAATTATTAATTAATTTTGGTGATTTTTTTTTTTTTTTGCTAATTATATTAAAATTCCAGGTAAAATCCAGTGGGAAAAATGATCATAGAAACTGGATTTGGGTGATTCAGCAGATTTTTTTTTTTTCTTTAATTGCGCAAACTATAAAAATCCGGTTAAAACGAAGTCTACCGAGAGATGGATTACCTTTAAGAAAAATTTGAAAAAATTTGAACACACATTGATTTTGTTTTTTATGATGTAAAGTGTCTCCGGATTGTGGAAAAATCTGTGTTTATACCCAAGAGTGTGGATGTTTGAACATGAGTGGAACTTGTATTTGGAAACACCATCAGATTCTGGGAATGTAATCAGAATTTCTTCTCGTTTGGAAACGCCCACGTACCTCAAACGCCACTTCCTGTGTCACGTCGGGCTCATTGCAGACACGTGGATGCTGATGTGCCGCCATTGCGATGGTGTGTTTAATGACCGTTCCTTATCTCTTTCATTACCCAACCTGACACGTCTGAGGATGGCTCTGCTCTCCTGACGGAGGGAGAGAGAGAGGTAGAGAGAGAGAGAGAGAGAGAGACGGAAATAATTACCAATGTCTCCTGTGGAATGGGGCGTAAATTGATACACACTAAAAACTGTACCTCGGGGGTCTTCCTCTTTTTTTTCCCCCCCTTCTATCTCTCCCCAGCTGTATTAGAAAAATGAATGCATCTAGACTTGAATTAATTGGATTTGGAAGCAGTCTCCTGCTTGATTCACCAAGACAGACAAACACCTCCCTCTGCACACTCTCCTTCCTCCCTCCCACCCACAGCCAGACACACTCCCCCCCATCACCTCCCCTCCCCTCCATCCCTATCCCATCCTCCATTTATTCCAGTCATGCCTTGAAGCAACGTCTCACACACCTGCACCCCTCCGACATCGCCCATATGGATCAGTCTGTGTCCCTTATATCTCGCCCTTACACACACACACTCTCTCACACACACACACAGTGGCATGCCGCTCCCCCGTGAATTGCACGCTCTCGCTTGGATACTGTGTTACCATGGCAGCCACATTTCCTGCATGTGTACAGTCACATGTAGTAAAAGAAGGGAGAAAGACACTAATCCTGTCAACTGACACTGTGCAGGGAGGGGCGGGGACNNNNCGGGGGGGCACTCACCTACGTCAAACCCACGCAGATGGTTCGTTAACATGTAACGTTTTTAATTTTTGTCACAACGAGCAGCTTTGGAATTCACTTTTTCCACCTTTGAACGGGGGGTATGTAAGAATATAAGTGTGCTCCTGTTATTCCTTTAGTGTACACCAGGGGTGTCCAACTCGTATAAGTGGGCCGGACCAGTACAATCATTCGTAATTGCCTATAAATAACAATAAGTCCTTGTTTTCCTGCACATAAGTATTTTTAAAAAATATATACTATTTAATGAAATATAATTTGACAAAACACCACGAACATGAAGTCTTTGTGCATTTTTTAAAAAATTATTACGCGGACCGAATTGAACCCCCCTAGCGGGCCGGTAAAAATTATTACGCGGACCGAATTGAACCCCCCTAGCGGGCCGGTTTTGGTCCACGGGCCGCATGTTTGACACAGCCCGGTGTGAAATTAGTGACAGAGTAAGAAGTACTGCAAGTTCTTCAGTTCCAGCTGATTTTATTTCCTTCTCAGAAGAAATAAAAAACAATTGAAATAAAAACCACAATCTGTACAGAGGTATGAGAGGCAGTGATTGACCTAAATGTTGGCTGGTTTTTTTGATAAGAAACATCAAATGATATTGGCATGATTGGACGAAACGTGGTCATAACACAGCATATTGCACAAATGAAAAAAAAAAAAAAAAAAAAAAAAAACAAGGGAATAGTGTTGTTACCGGAGATGCCTTAGGCGTTTTTCAAAAAATAGAAAACAAATAGAAAATATCATCAAATAAAATAAACTCCATGGACCTCCGTCATCTTTGACCTGTCCAAAGAGAGCTGTCCTAGTGCCTGTCGTTGATCATCATCATCATCATCATCGTCGTCGTCGTCATCGTCATATATAAAACACACAATCTTTGCCTATGGTACAGTCAGTTTACATAAATATCTTCATGTTATTATTCTTTTAAAAAATCTTAAACACAACAGCTATAGCTACATATACCTGAATCTGAAATACAAATGCTATTTGCCATGCCATAATATAGGAAAACAATTAGCCTGCTATACTTAGTCAACAGGTACAGAAAGGTTAAATACTTTTTTTTTTTTTTTTGACGTTTGTTTTTGATGCAATTTGCGCAATTACAGATGAAGCACTTCATACATCGCCCTCCCTTTAAAGTCTAGGCAAAGTGGAATGAATTGAAATCCTACCCAACGGTATGAATAAAATTCGTTTTAATTTATAAAAAAAAAAAGTAAAAAAACAAGAAGCACACAGAGGTATTAGCTCTATCCAAACAGTGATTCTTCTTGGATGTTGGACTTGTTGGATTTCCTTGTAGGTCAATGTGTACTGGAAACAGGCACCAGTCTCTGCGGTGCTTTGTTTACTTGGCTGGTGAAAGTGGAGTCACTGTGCCGTTAAGAAGCATGTGGGTAAAATACTGTAAACACTGTGAGGTCAGATTGTGCCACACGAGCCGCGTCCCCGCCCCCTCACCCCCTCACCCCATCCCTCCCTGACTCCCACCCACCCATGCACATCTAAACACCAGTGTAGATCCAAACAACAACGTTGTAGGCTACCCACTTGCCGGAAACGCCCCCTCCCCAACTCCCCTCTTGTCTATAGATTTTTGTACAAAAATACAAGTAGAAAATCATGACACACACACACGAATCTTCTTGAAAAGTGAATGGAGTCTGACATTATTATTATTCTTTTTTTTCTATTTTTTTTTTTTTTTTAAATAAGACACACTTCTAGCCCTTCCGCGCAGGTTTACAGACAGGTGTATGTGCACAAACACAAATGAGACCTGTTAGGAGAACAACTCTTCTATGTATAAAAAAAGGTTTTGGCCGGTATAAATACATCAATATAAAAAAAACCGTCATCTGACACAGAGAAACTACAAAGTTTGAAGCACTAGGCAGAAGGGGATTCGCGTGGGGGGGAGAGAGGGGGGGGTCATGTTGGTCCTGAATTGTGCACTGAGTGTTAATAAAGGTTCAGAACGTGGTTTTCTGAAAGGCTTGAGTCAGTATTTTTTTTTTTTTTGGGAGGGGGGGAGTTTGGGGTAAAGTCCTGCCGTTGAGAGAGAGAGAGAAGCTGGTGATAGTGAATTAGTCACACAAAATGCGTCGTTACGCGTCAATGACAAAAAAAAAAAATGTTTCACGCATCTAACCACGACAACAATAAAACTCCTTATCTCGGAGCTCATGCGTGCTGATATCGGAACCGCACCTGAATGGCAACTTGATGGTCGATGCGAACAGGTTATACCTTTAAAAAAAAAAAAAAAAACCGAACATGGAGAGCGTTTTTTTTTTCCAGTATGTGTCCATTATCCCCGACCCGAAATCACCTCGAGATTCCCAAAAAAAGATCCTCATCCGTCCTGTAGGATCAGTGTGAACAGCTGAGCTGAAGTCCGTGTCCTTCTGTTGCTCTCTGCTTACATTCACTCACATTCTGTGTTCAGATGCCGACCGAGCATCTCTCGAGATTGTGCGTCCCCCGCCAGGAGCACCGACGACCTCTGCCCTTCCCGTCTTCACCCTCTCCGGTTCAGTGAAAGACTAGCAGAAATAGTCAGGTCTGCACTCACACACGCCTGTCTGAGGGTGGGTGGGGTTGAACAGTACAAAACGTGGGAGGGACATAGCAGTTCCCTATCCAGCGTGCGTCCTTCTCAGTAGGTGAACACCAGGTTGGAGATCGTGGACTCCAGCCAGTCTCCTGAGATCATCTCGCTAACCTCCGGCGTGCAGTAGTCGGAAAAGTCGAAGTGAGATCCCGCCCCGCACTCCCCGAAGCTCCAGTCCAAGTCCCGGTCCAGCTCCGTGTCAGAAAAGCCCATGCCCCCCAGTGACATGCCCTCGAAGCCGGGACTCGGGTTCAGGTCGAGTCGCTCGTCCTCAAACTCTTCGTCTGATGATGAGGATGAGACAGACGAGGAAGAGTGCGACGCAGACGGCGTCGGGGAGGAGGCGCGGGTGTACCTGAGGCGGGCGGTGTGCGTGGAGGACTCGCTGCCCGCGGGGCTCTGCTCCTCGTACAGGCTGAGCGGGTCGCTTGACTCTGCCGAGCTACTCAGGGTGGGACTGGCCGGGACACCTACGGAGGGAGGTCCGCTCTCCAGACTGCCTGCCCCGCCGAACATGTGGCCGCGCCTCGCCTCCCCTCCCGCGCGCTTCTCCGGTATCTGTCTGGCTCCAGACACTGACCTGGATTTGAAGAGCGATTGGTGGTCGCCAGAAGACGCGTAGTCCTGCCCCTGAGCGCTCTTGTTGCCCCCCTGCCTGTGCGTCCTGCTAACTCCCCTGGACGCAGGGCTCTTCTTCACACCGGCTTTAGCGCCGCCGCTGCTGCTGCTGCTGCCGCGCTCCCCGCGGTCCGTCTGCTTACTCGCCACACTCGCCGACTTGACCTTCTTCCTGGGCCGGTACTTGTAGTCTGGGTAGTCGGCCATGTGTTTGAGCCTGAGCCGCTCGGCTTCACGGATGAACGGGATTTTGTCTGTGTCTTTGAGCAGCTTCCAGCGCTTCCCCAGCCTCTTGGAGATCTCCGCGTTGTGCATGTCCGGCGACTGCTCCATAATCTTACGCCTTTCGATCTGCGACCACACCATGAACGCATTCATGGGTCTCTTGATGTGGCCCGTCGGAGTTTTGCACCACGCCAGGTCACTGCGCCCCCCAGAGGAGGGGGACTCGGGGGTCGGAGATGCATCCATCTCCAGGTCCATGGAGTCCGTGGAGTCCCCGCCGGGAGAGTGAGCGTGGGCGGTCTCTGTCTGGCTCATGTGTTGCACCATCCTTCCTCCGGGTGTCCAGAAACACTCAGTGCTGGTTAAAGTTTTTTATAAAATAAAAAAAACCAAACAAACAGATGAACTCCTCACTTGTGTCAGAAACAGGACAGGGAAGGAAGAGAGAAAACAAAAAAGTTCACTGAAGTCTGTCTCTCTACTGCTCCGTCCTGGAGACACTTTTGTCTCGCAATTAATATCAGTGCGCTTCCCCCGGAAAACCGCGAAAAAAACCCACTCCGGGTCTCAACTGCCGGTGCGGCTGAAAACTCGACCTGTTAGACTGGAAACGCGCCGCTGCGGGAAGCAGTGGTTCAAGTCCCCTATGTGGAGCTGGCTGTCTGCGACGCTGCTGTGCCGTGCGGTTGAGGAACCATGTGGTTGAATGGAGCAGCTGTGCTTTCTCATAGTCTCCCCGGTCTTAGTACTCTGTAATGTGACTGTAAACACAACAAGGAGAGCCTAGCTCTTATATAGCCCCGTTGCGAGATATAAAACCCAATAAGCGGCTGTCTCCATCCTGATTTTTCGCGCAAGCCCCGCCCCTCGGCTCCCATTGGCTGAATATAAAACTGGCAATAACAATAATAATAATGTGCAACCAGGATCAGTGTGTCTGACCTCATTCCTGTCAGACTCCACTGGAAGAAAGACGGACTCATACCCTCCCTCTCTCTCCCTCTCTCCCTCTACCTCTACCTCTCTCTCTCCCACTCTAATTATTTTCTCCTTCTCTCTCATTCTCTCTCTCTCTCTATTCCTTTCCGTGTTAAAGGGAACACAGTGTCCTTTCCCCTTGCAGCAAGGGGAAGTTGACAGGGGATATTCTTAGAGCGACATTAGTTTCATGAGGATGAGGGCCGGCTAAATTTAGACTCTGTCTAATGGAAGGGGGGAGGAGGGTTTGGGGGGGGTCAAGAAAATGCTAAGAAAACACACCGACAGCCACGGTAAACCCACTCGACACACATCTGAGCCAACTCCATATTTACACCAGCCCCGGACTTACACCATTACATCATCACCAGCAGCGTAAACAAACACCAGGTGAAGAGAGTTTTTTTTTTTTTAATTATTTATTTATATATTTTTAACTTTTGTTTTTATCTGAGCTCCAAATCGACTCTTCAAGAAAATTTGGGAATTATTGTCAGATAAGTGTGAGAGTTGCATCAGACACAGATAGGTTCCCCACTGTTGGGTACCAACCCCACCTCCATCCCCCCTTACATACCCATTATGTTTAACACGCACGGGAAAATGTCTAGTAGGCTCCCCATTACAGCCTGTGTCGCTAGATGTCAGGCTAGAGCCAAAGAGGGCTGACATCACATGTACATATGCGGGTGTGCTTGTGTGTTAACGTGTACAGATCACCGAAGATCTGCTGCGAGCTGCTGTTATTGAATCATGCAGGTGATGTCATGGGTTGACAGTTGAAGGCTTGTTGTGTTTTTTTTTTTTTTTTTGAGTAAGGTATGACAAGCTTTAACGTTTTAGAACTCCACTTCTGGGCCCTCCTTTTGGACTTACATAATCATAACATTAAGTAATAAGGTTCGATTCCAGTGGATTGGGTCGCCTTTCCCGCTGCTACCCCCCGCCCCCCCCTCATCTTCGTACACGTCGTCGTCGTCGTTGTTGACACAGGTGCAGCGGGTATATCTCTGATCTCATCTTGATGTGTCAGAAACAGCTGTCAGATACTTTTGGCCTTCTGTCACGGGCAGATGTAGACGCCCGGCAGCGACGGGACACTGAACCACACTTGTCCACTGCTCTGACATCTCGGGGGAAATGTGTTTACCCTTAAATACACCTGTGTTTTGCCTTGTCCATGCCCTGCGGGGATAACGTCATTACGGCGGCGTGCTGAGGGACGCCCGGGCTTTTTGTTTTTTTTAAAGTGCGTACGGGTCCAAACTAAATGGAGTTAAGCTGCTGTCAATTGATTCACGTTGTTACGTGTGACGTCTCGAAGTCGAACCAAAGCATCGCTTTGGAACTGACAAAAGTCGAACCAACTTGGAACTGACGAATAGATTTACTCGTAATGGATAGCCTGTGCGTTTTTAGCCTAAATTGGTGCAATAAAACTCTTAGTGGGCCCCAACAGCAGGAAAGCAATTAAAGTGCTGTAAAAATAAAACAACATTAATATCAAATGAACTACAGCTGCAGCAGCAGTAGGACCGGTCTTTTTTTTTTTTTTTTTTTTAGCCCAGGCATGATATACGCACTGTTTACACCAACCCGGATACGTAAGGCTATCGCTAAAACAAACTGTCTAAAGCAGATTAAGTGAGCTAACCCTTTAGACTGTTACGAGTCGGGCTTGACAAATGGGAGCACAGACATCAGAATGTGTCATAACAGCACAGAGTGGAACTGGGTTTTGAATAACAGAGCAAAGAGATGGAAATGAAAAAAAAAAAAAACGCAGTGATGTGTCGGGGGAAAAAACCTACTTATTACCATGTACTGTATTTGCCTTCTGTTTCTGCCTGGTAATGACATGGCTTTTTGACCTGCCTGCTCGTCATTTGGTGGTCAAACACAATAAGGCCTTTGTGTGTATGTGTGTGTTGAGCTCAAACATAACTGGATGTTTAAAACCTGGGGGCGAGTCCCACTGCTCAAAGAGAAAAAAAAAAAAGTGACGACTAAGCACTAATTTACATATACACACACGTCACCCGCCTTCTGCTCGGCTCATTCACACTGCGCCGGTTCACCCTGTGTTTTGTGTGGATGTGGTAGACGGCGTAGGTGGCTATCTCACCATGTCACCCACCTACTGCTGTCGGCCCCTTACACAACAACGCCAAACCAGGCCGGTTATTTTTAAGCTGCTGTAGAACCCAGTGTTCCTAGTTACTTCGCTGTGCCATTATGCGGCTGAACAAAAACGATCGGAAAACAACTCGTAATGTAATAGAATCCAAAGTGAACCGGAACGTTTTTAGGATTCTTTTGAAATGTGCATTTGCAAAACATTCATCCTGCATGGGATTGTTTAGAACAGGGCTTCCCAACCCCTGGTGCGGGGTCCGATGCTGGTCCGTAGGTCATTTGGTGCTGGGCGGGGTCCGGTGCTGGTCCGTAGGTCATTTGGTGCTGGGCCACAGTGAACATTCCAAATGATCCAGTCATATCCCTTGACTTTTTTCATTCAAAGATAATCTGGCAATGTTTCAAAACAATAGCTCTGATGCTAACAGCTAAAGTAATCATCCTTCAACGACGGCGCAGTACTACCGGTTCGAAGTAACGGCTGAAACAGTTTGACCGGTTGGTACAAAAAAAAGTTGCCGACCGCTGGTTTAGAACATTTCAAAATGTAAGTTCTGTACTTTTTAGCATCCGCAACTTCTAAAAGTTGACTTTGTTAGCCGGCGATCCCAGCAGACGGGTGTCTGAATGTGTAGTAGTACTACAGTCAAGAGTTTTAGGGGTCACCTTAAATGGAAAAGTCCTGCACAGAGACTTTTCTTACTCCTGGAATCTTTCTTTAGTCTATGTCCTTCTTTCCCGCTGAACGACAGGTC